CGGCAGACGCGGCAGCTGCCCGGTGGGCTCCTGATTCCCAGCACTTCCCGGGACCTGACCTGCAGGTGAGGCTCCCAACCAGGCCCGGACGCAGCGCCCACACGGTGAGCCGGGGCCCCTGGGGTGCTCACCTCGGCTCCTCCGCTCCTCCCTGAAGCCCAGCGCGGTGAAGCCGGGCAGCAGCTTGCTGGACAGCACGCTCAGGTCCACCGGGTGCGTCTCCTCCTCTGCGAGGGCATCAGGGCTGTGAGCAGGGGACACCGGAGCCCCCAGCCCCAGGCAGTGATGGGTGCACGCAGGAGGGCGGGCCCGGGGTCTCCCTGTGCCCATCTACAGCCGATCTACCAAGCCGGCTGCCTTTCTCTCGTCTCGGCTGCACCGTGATCTCACCTTAGTGCCCCCGCAGCTCTCATGACGACAGGCCAGCGGTCTGCCCACCACAGGGCAACATAACCTTCCCAAACCCACGCTACCGCTCACCACCTCCGAGAGACCTCGGGCCACGTGTCACAAGAGCAACAGAGCAGCCTGAGGGCAATTCCTACGCTGAATTCGCCCTTAAAGTTGCTAACGTGACCTGAGCAGGACCCTTCAAATCCCCAATCTGAACCCCAATCTCATGTTCTCTTCCTAAGTGTTGACCAGCTCGCCTGTTCTCTTCTAACGAGAACGTTATGACTCACTCCAACTGAAGGTCAAAGGCAGTGGCCAACGCTTGTGCCCCTCATCCCTCAGAGGACACTGAGTGCCCCTGCCCATCTTGGCGGTGGCGGGGAAACGCCGAGGGCCACGCTGGGCCGTGAGAGCCGCCCCACATCCACGCAGGTGAGAACGAGGGGAGTGTCTCACCTGCTGTGTGTGTGACAAGCCTGTGACACACTTCTCCAAAGATAGGACAGTGTAAAAGTACTTTAAGGGCCACAGCCGTGGCCGTACAGGTTGGACGGGCCCTCCCTTCAGTGAAGCTCACGCCTCCTTTGAAAGCTTCCCTGATGCAATTGCCAAACAGGCCGTGTGGGGCAGACGCCTGCCTCGTTCTAGCCTTGAGGGTGGGCAGAGCTCAGTGCCCCGATTCCAACAAAGGGGCCTCAGCTGGGCTGTGAGGCAAACCCAGCTCCCAGGGCTTTGCTGCAGCTTTGGGGAGCGTGACCCCAGGCGCTTGGGGCTTGGGGGCCCTTGGTCCGAAAGGTCTGACCAGCATCTCCGGCCCCACTGGACAGCCGCCCGCGGTCCACTGAGCACACGTGCATCCCGCTGTGCGGGGGACTGGACACGCCTTTATCTACACTTCACCACAGCGTGGTGGCCAGGGAAAAGGGGCATCTCGGGCGGGCCGTGAGGTGCAGGCCGCCGAACGGGGCAGGGGCGAGGGGCGCGCGGGAGCCGCCCACCGTCTGCGTCCGGCTCGGCCGCGTTGACCACGCTGTAGAGCAAGCTCCCGGCCCCGTTCCTCTTCAGGTAGCCCATCTGCAAGGAAGCACGCCTGAGTGCCCACTCTCCGGGCGGCCGCTGCCGCGGCCCGGGGCCCCGCCGCCGCGCCAGCCGGACAGGGGCCTCCGAGGGCGGCCTGAGTCCCAAAAGGCCGCCAAGTTACTCGTTTCCCTGTGAACAAAGGCCACGTGCACGCGTGTGCGATCAAAGGACTTCTGGGACGGGCTCCTCAGGACCCCTTCCAAACAGGAGCTCTGAAGACAGAGAACGAACCCGAGAAACAGCCTTTTCCGGCAGTCAGAGGCCCGAGCAAAGCGAGCTGGGTCGGGGCCTGGTCAAGGAGACCGGAGATCCACATCTGACACCCGTGGGAACCCATCTCCGTTTGAAAAACAGCCTGCACACAAGAGCAGCCCCTGCACAGGCTGTCGGGAGGGCCCAGGAAGGGCAGGCTGCCGTGTGGGTCAGTGTGTGCGAGGGGCCCAGCGTCCAAGCAGGGTGAGTAGGGCACAGGGTAGAGGGGGATGGGGAGGTGATGGAAGCCAGGTTTCTCACGGTGGAACTATGAAACTGTAAGGGGGAAAAGCAAAGCAGACCCACTGGTGTTGGACGGAATCGAAGGTTTCAGTGTGAAAACTCGGTGTTCAGTGAACGTAAACACGGACATCAGTACAGGCTGTACGGACGGACGGGGCCTTCCTAGCTTTGTCCACCAGGGCCCAGTTCTAGGTCTGGGATGCCGCTCTCCGCTAGGGAACCAGGGCTCCTTGGAGAAATGCTGACTCCAGGGCTGGAAGGCCACAGGAGTGCAGACAAGCGAGCTCAACAGAAAGAACTATCACGTGAGCCACACGGGCAACTTCAAACTTTCTAGAAGGCACATTGGAAATAAAAAGAAACAGTGGCGTAAAATGTAACGTATTTCATATAAGCCGACACGTCCAAATTGTTACCACTTCAAACCTCCTTATGTGAAGATGTAAATTCCAGCCCATGTTTCACAGACTTAATACAAAAAAAACAAAGTCAAAAGCCGTGAGAAGCCTTCGCACGGACTGCAGGTCGCAATACAATCCTAGACACAGCAGGTCACACTAAGCGCGAGGGTGAATCTCACCTGTGTCCTTGCTAATACGACTACTAGGAAGCTTCAAGCCGCACACGTGTGTGATTCACGCTATTTCTACTGCATGCACGGATGGGGGACACCTTGCGTGTGAGAGAGAAGGTGCTCAGAGGAGGGCAGGCCCCCTCGTGAAGACCAGCAGCCCTCTGCACAGACTCACACCTGGGGCACAGACACGTGAGAACACAGGGGAAAGGATTCACCTACAGCGGACAGTCCTGGCCGGCTTGGCTTCGGCCCGGGGACAGAGGTTAGCACCCCTGCGGGCAGGCGGCCCGCACACAACCACACCCCTCCTGTCTTTGAGGTGCTCTTGGAGTCCCTCCCTGCCCTCCGGGAGACCGGCCAGCAGGCTACCACGGCCAGTGGGGACGAGGAGCTGACCCCTCCGGTGACAACAGTGCCACCAGGACTCCAGCGGGACTCCGACCACATGCTCGTAATGACCGGCTAACCTCTCGCTCGTGACAGCCGTGCCACTGTTCTGGCAGAAACACAGCCATCCCGTCCGGGAGTGCTACCTTGCCACCGGGGACCAGCCGGTTGATCCTGTCCCGGGCCTCGTCGGCCGCATGCTCCACCAAGGCCAGGACGTGCTCCTCCGCGGTGCTGTCGGTCAGGCTGCAGGCATTTCCTTCCGGCTCGAACATGCAGCTACAAGGCAGAAACAGGCAGGAGTCAACGGGCCGCACGTGGGCACGCTCACCCCTCATCCCCACAGTCCGTCCTTCACGCCACACCAGGGCGCGGCACAGGGCAGCGCAGAGCGCACTGTAACTCCCTTCCTTCCACTTCTGATGCTTCCGCTAAGACGAGAAAGTACAAGCCGAGCAGATGCTCCACGTTTCTTGTGTCTCGGCTACACGTTTTGGTCACTTTAAGAGCAACAGGAGCCTCACGGGTTAGTGCCACTCGAGGCGCCAGTAGAAAACATGACAATCCCATGCGGGGCTGGGGCGCTGGCAGTTGAGCCTGGGCTGGAGAGCCCCCTAGGACCCAGGGCGCCTAAGACCGCAGAGGCAGAG